CATGCGAGTGATCTGTTTACACTTGGGGCAGATGTAATTGAGTAATTGTAGTGTGAAAAAGCTGAACATGCCGCAGCTTGTGCATGAGACGTGAAGTTTTTGTGTTTGTTCCATCTGGAGGTTGCTAATGACCTCCTCTTGGTGTGTGTTTGATGTTGTCTGTATGCAGGGGTGCTTCTTCCAACACACTGACATTTGTCCGCCTGTCTTCCCAAGAGATTTGCAGGATTTTTCAGAGGCAGCACTGATGGAATTGTTCCAGGAGTTGTGTGTGATGTCTGTAGACAATCCACATTTTGCAGGCGTATAGCAGGGCTGGGAGGGCCATCGCTTTATAAAAAAGCACCTTGGTCTCCCTACAGATGTCCCGGTCCTCAAACACTCTCTGCTTCATTCGGAAAAAATGCTGCGCTCACAGAGCTTAGGCGGTGTTGTATTTAGGTGTCATTGTTTACTTTTGTGAAGAAGTGGCTGCCAAGGTAGTGGAAATGGTCGACATTTTCTAATGTTACACTATTAAGCTGTATTTCTGGCATTGCAGAGGGATTGGCTGATGACTGCTATCATTTTTGGACGCAGGGTGGTGATCCCTCTGGATGCAGCAGTTCAGTCAGGGATAAGAGAGTCAGGCTATGTTTAGGGCACCTTTTCTAGCCCCTTCCCCATGTGGGGTGAGCAGAGTCAATCCTAAAAAGGGCAGTTCAGTCATACAGCTGCTGGACTACTCAACTGCCTCGGACCTTGAGGTAGAATGACTGAATCCATATCCACCGCCCATGTGCCAGTCTGTGAGTAGGAGCTTCCAGATTTCACAGTCCTGCCCCCGTCACCACTCACTGATCACCTTGGGAGTTTTGTTGGTTTGTTTTTATTTTTCTTGGAAGATGCCTGTGCGTGAGGTTTTTTTTAAAAAAATGTGTGGAGGTTGGTGCACAGCTAATCAACACACAGTCTTCACAGAGTCAGGTCCCAACCAGTGACATGGTTAACACAACGATGGTGGCTTCTCAATCTGTTGCAGCCTTCTTCTGCTTTCACAGCCGTTGTAACATGCACCATGTTATCCTACTCCTGATCTGCTGTTGAGGTCTTCGGGTCTTTGGATTGTGCATGATCTGGAACCTCCCCTGTGGCCCCTCCTGGGAGTGCATGACTCTGGTGCTTATGCCCGTAGGTTCATAGGAACACGCAAGCCCCCTTACCATGACAAGGTAACAATCCATGGAGGGATATTTATTTATTTACCATACTTATACCCAGTCATTCGCACCCAGAAGAGAACTCAGAATGGCTCACAGATCATGCCAAAAATTCAATGCCCCATAACATATACAATAAAAATACAACATCTAAATTTACAACAGTTAAGGCATATTTCAATTGCTACAACAATGTTCAATGTCCCATGGAGGGTTGTCGGGTGCTTTCTTTGAAGGACAGGGTCTACCAGTACTGGCTATACTGATGTTATAGAACTCCAGTATGCTGATGACAACATCGCCTGTGCACATTCAAAAGAAGATCTACAAGCTACTCTAAACACCTTCGCAGAAGCATACGAGAAGCTCGGCCTGTCATTGAACGTCGAGAAAACCAAAGTGCTGTTCCAACAGTCACCAGCCAACCCCTCTTCAATGCCAGAGATACAGCTTAATGGTGTAACATTTGAAAATGTTGACCATTTCCGCTACCTTGGCAGCCACCTCTCCACCAAAGTCAACATTGACACCAAAATACAACACTGCCTGAGCTCTGCGAGTGCAGCATTTTTCCGAATGAAGGAAAAATGCTGAGGACCGGGACATCCGTAGGGAGACCAAGGGGCTTGTTTATAAAGCTATTGTCCTCCCAACCCTGCTGTACGCCTGCGAAACGTGGACTGTCTACAGACGTCACATGCAACTCCTGGAACGATTCCATCAGTGCTGCCTCCGGAAAATCCTGCAAATCTCTTGGGAAGACAAGCGGACAAACGTCAGCGTGCTGGAAGAAGCAAAGACCACCAGCATTGAAGCAATGGTCCTCCACCATCAACTCCACTGGACCGGCCACGTTGTCCAGATGCCCAACCACCATCTTCCAAAGCAGTTGCTCTACTCCAAACTGAAGAATGGAAAACGAAATGCTGGTGGACAGGAAAAGATGGGCTCAAAGCCAACTCAAAAACTCTGGCATAGACACTGAGAACTGGGAAGCCCTGGCCCTTGAGTGCTCCAGCTGGAGGTCAGCTGTGACCAGCAGTGCTGCAGAATTTGAAGAGGCACGAATGGAGGGTGAAAGAGAGAAACATGCCAAAAGGAAGGCACATCAAGCTAACCCCAACCGAGACCGCCTTTCACCTGGAAACCAATGCCCTCACTGCGGAAGAAGATGCAGATCAAGAATAGGGCTCCACAGTCACCTACAGACCCACCGCCAGGACACCGAACTTGGAGGACCATCATCCTCGGACTACGAGGGATCACCTAAGTAATACTGATGGAATTTGACCTCAGCCACTATGGTAAATTTAATGCTGGTCCCTAACCCCACACCATCTTCTGGCATCTTTGGGTTTGAAAACACGGGTCATATGCAGCATAACAATTAACTAACCAAAACAAGCAGTTGCTTTGATAGATCTTGAGCATAAATACTCTTGACAGGAAAAAAATGGTTTGAATTCCATTGGTAGACTTAATTAGAGTTGATTCATTTGTTAAATGGGTAGCCAAACACTGATGTAAATTCTGTTGATTTCAGTAGGAAATCAATGGAATTTGATAAGACTCAGGGCAATACTTCCATTAGTGGCAAACCTGCAGTTTTAAAACAATTACTCATATCACAAAATTGCTGTGATTCTATAAGGCCTGGATATATCACATACTTCTGCTGTTTTGTAAAGCAACATTAAGTGAGCACTAAGCAAGGCTGTTTTTCTCCAGCTGCACACTCATCCAAGGGTTCGACAGTGGCTTTCTAAGTTAACTATTAGCCAGTTACTCTTCTAACATGGGTCACTGTGCACCAGTGTTTATTGTTTCTTCTACTAAATATCTTACCTTTTGAAATGTTTCTGTTGTCCTCTCTTCTTTGGAAGAAATTGGCTTCGGCTTATTTATTTAGTGGTAAGCAAGGAAGGGCAACTTACAGCCACAGACACAATACAATACAATGTAAGTGAGGCGGCTGTCTCTCCTCCCATCAAGGAAGAGCCCTCTTGCAGCTTTCCAGACTGACTCAACCTTTTTTTTAAATCAGGAAGTCAATCTGCAGTTCAAGGTCCACTTATTTCCCTCTTGGACAATCGCTTCTCAAATTGTGCTGCAAAGATAGGAGCACCATAAAACCCAGGGATTTAGATTGAACTGAGATTGACAGAAGTGGTGTTTCTTCTCATAAGATGATAACATAGCTACTACATAGCGCAGAAAAACTCCTGTTCCCTTTCATATTCATCCCCAGAATCCCATCTTTTTTAAACACAGTTCTGTATAGAGCACCTTCAGTTTTTATTTTTCCCTGAGATTGATAACCCTGCTTGGCCTAAATATTTGAAAGGCACCAGATCCAATCTGATCATGGAAACTATGCAGAGCCAGGATTGGTTAGTACTTGGATGGTGAACTGCCAAGTCATACCAAGCAAAGCTGGCTATATTCAGAGGAAGGCCATGGCAAAACACCTCTGAATATACCTTGAAACTGAATATACCTTGAATAAACCTGTGAAACTAATACGATAATCAAAAGTCAACAAAGAACTCGAAGACGTGCCTGTATGTGAACACATCATACACCCATAAAAACTTCCCTCCCAACAACTAACCTTGGAAATTCAGACAGTTAATCAGAAGGATTTGTTTATTTAAAACAAAAAATCCACTTTTTGTTCAACCACTAAAGGAATTTAACAATAAGAAAAAAAAACCAATCCATTATGAACACAATGAAATTTGTTTTTAATAAAAAACGTTGACCAAGAAAGTCCCTGAATAATTGCTGATGTGAAATATCCACTTCCCGGGTGGAGTGGTGAAGGTAGTTCCCAAAAATGTCAGTTGATCATAGAGTCATAGAATAGCTTCTATGTACTATTTGACACATTCATGATTTCATAGAATCATAGAATCATAGAATCAAAGAGTTGGAAGAGACCTCAAGATTGACATCCAGTCCAACCCCCTGCCAAGAAGCAGGAATATTGCATTCAAATCACCCCTGACAGATGGCCATCCAGCCTCTGTTTAAAAGAAGGAGCCTCCACCACACTCCGGGGCAGAGAGTTCCACTGCTGAACGGCTCTCACAGTCAGGAAGTTCTTCCTCGTGTTCAGATGGAATCTCCTTTCTTGTAGTTTGAAGCCATTGTTCCGTCCTAGTCTCCAGGGAAGCAGAAAACAAGCTTGCTCCCTCATCCCTGTGGCTTCCTCTCACATATTTATACATGGCTATCATGTATCCTCTCAGCCTTCTCTTCTTCAGGCTAAACATGCCCAGCTCTTTAAAATGCTCCTCATAGGGCTTGTTCTCCAGCCCCTTGATCATTTTAGTCGCCCTCCTCTGGACACATTCCAGCTTGTCAATATCTCTCTTGAATTGTGGTGCCCAGAATTGGACACAATATTCCAGGTGTGGTCTAACCAAAGCAGAATAGAGGGGTAGCATGACTTCCCTAGATCTAGACACTATGCTCCTATTGATGCAGGCCAAAATCCCATTGGATTTTTTTTCTAGGAGTCACCCTGGATGATTCCTAGAAAGGATATACTAATCAAATTGATGAATAATGACATCTGCAAAATGTAAACCCACAATATGGAGGGTCAACTATACACACAGTCCCAAAATTCTGAACAAGTTCTGTAGGACTTCTTAAGATGAATGTTTATGTAAGTCGGAACAAGTACATTTTTCAAGATTGACTCCAGCCAAATACTTTTTTTAGATCATAACTACTAGGGCTGGGCGGTTTCGTTTCGTTAATTCGTAATTCGTTAAAAATTCGTTATTTTTTTTGTTAACGAAGCGATAACGAACCATTCTGGAGCAGCTTAAAAACGAAACGAATTTTTCAATTCGTTTCGTAAATGCTTCGTATTTCGTTATGTATTCGTTTCGTTATTGGTTTGAGGTCGTTTCGTTATTATTTCCGCATGTCTGGGGCAAGTTTTATAGTTGTATTTTGTTTAATTAGTGAAAAAAAATTATAATATCACACCAACAGTCAACAACAGAGGGAGAGGGAAGCTTCAGAAGTTCCCCCTGTCCCATTTGGAGGTTTTTTAGCGTATTGCGCGGTCGCGTCCGCCATTAACGAATCGATTCGTTATTGTTTCGTAATTGTTTCGTTATTGTTTTGTAATTTTTTTACCATTTACGAAATTTCGTAAATATCGAACTTTTTTTTAAAAAAAATTCGGAATTCTTTTAAATATCGAAACGCAAAAAACCCCAAAAAACGAATCGATTTTAGAAACAAATTTTTCCGTTGTTACCCAGGCCTACTTAACACCACTCTGGTGTTTGTTTTACTGTCTGTGCTCCGGTTCAGAAAATTTCACTTTTTGTCCCTGTGATCATTGGATTTTGGAAAATTTGTCTTGTTGTGAAAACAAGGATTGATGATAAAGCTTCAGTGAAGACACCTTTTTGCCATGATAATAACTCTTTCAGGAGTGAACTTCCCTTCTCACTTCCTGTTGTCCCACTCCTGTTTTTAACTATGAGTTGTTTGTAACTCGGATGTTTGTAACTCAGGGACTGCCTGTATAATGTACACTACACATGTCCACTCAAGCATGCTTTGTGGGAACATGGGAGAGAGCCTTTTTGGTGGCTGCTCCCAGACTGTGGGACTGTGGAAATCCCTTCCAAGAGAGACCAGGATGGACCCATCCCTGCTGACCTTCAAGACCTTCTGCCAGCAGGAATTTGGGGAAGTGGCAGGCTTTTGGAGGTGTGGGTGGGATTGGCAAAACGCTATGAGTTTTAAAGGCTATTTTAAATGTATTTATTGTATTTTGATATGCTTTTACCACACTTACTATTTAATTGTTTTTTTAATTGCATTGTGTTTTTTAAACTTGACCAAGTGTGGGATTGTGAGCTGCCTTGAGTCCCCGCAGGGAGAAAGGTGGGGTATAAATAAAGTTAATAAATAATAATAAATCATTTCTGGAGCTGGAAACGTCTAAAGAAGTGTTACTCAATATGGTGGTCATGCATAGTTCTGGTCCTTGAGCCATGGGCTGTTTCTTTTGTTGTTGTTGTTATTATTTTATCGAGATTGGTCCTTGCTCTCCTCCCAAGAAGTAAGCGTCTTCTGATTTCCTGGCCACAGTCTGCATCTGCAGTAATCTTTGCGCCTAGAAATACAAAGTCTGTCACGGCCTCCACATTTTCTCCCTCTATTTTCCAGTTGTCAATCATTCTTGTTGCCATAATCTTGGTTTAAATAAAGTTTATCATTATTATTATCTTGCACTTTTGGGCTCCTGGAGCCCAAAAGTGCAAGATGGCACCTACCCCTTCCCCTGAAGCCCCCCCCTCCCCAAATTAATCCTTAAAATTTAAAAAACTTACCAGGCTGCCACTAAGTTGCTCCGACAGTCCTCCTGGCATGTAGAAATGACACACCAAGAGGAAGAGAGAGGAGCAAAATTGGTGGGCATCTAGACATCCCTCTGGAAAAGCCCGGGTTTTGGGCGGAGGTGTGGAGACAAAAACCCATGCCAAAGCGGGTTTTTTCCCCTGTCTGGATATGCTCTCTAAGCAGCTTAACATAAAAGCATCACCATACTATTTAAAATATACAAATATGCAATAATTAATTATTGCATATTTTTATATTTTAAATATCAGTATTAAATATAAACAATATTTTAAAAATCCCAGTTAAAAACCTTTTAAACATGTTCAAAGCTTCTCTCTCTTAGGTTTTCAGAAAAGAAACATAAAATGCACCACTGGCAAGGAAAGGGGGATTGCCAGTCAACAATCTTAGGAAGCAATGGTCACTAGCAGATAAATGTAGCTGACTGGCAACCTCCGCTTCCCTACACACAGAGAGAGAGAACTCTGTGATTTTGCTGCAATAGATTAATTTGCAAATTTAAGCATCAGTAATTCCTTGGAAATAATAATGTATGTACTTGCATGAATAAGCCACTAAACTGTTATTAAAAAACAGCAGCCCATGCAGACAATGGCGAAAATGCTGATACAACCCATGACATAATGGCCTGTGGAAAAAGACAAAAGAAATCACATCAAAGTTGTATGTGCGGCTTATCATGATACAATAGCTGTAGATCACATCAGACCAGCTGAATTATTGTGCAGGCAAGCAGAGTATGCTAAGTAGGCTAAGGCTCTGGTTTGGCTGTTTTTGAATTGCAAAGAAAAAGCCCCAGGTCCCATTCTCCTCTCTGCCTGCCCCACTTGCTTATTAATAGCCATGTTTCTCTCCCATTTAATTTATATCTACCCTCCCTCATTTCTGCTCTCTGTGTTTTTTCTGTAAAAACGGTTTGACTTTTTGTTGTTTTGTATGTTTCTGATTGTTTTGTTTTTTCTTCTCTTCTTCCTCACCATCTTATTCCTTGCTTCTCTTTTCAGAAGCTGTGTATTCATCCTATGGATGCACGTTGAAAGGTTGATTTGTCTGTGGATTAATTCCTTCTCACTGTGACGCATGTTAAGTCTCATGATGTCTAACAAATGACATTGAGCAGCAGCAGGGCTGGCTGACATGTCTGTGCCAAGCCACGCAGTTGTGTTTCCTAGTTCTGCCACAATTGTATCCACTCCTCTCCCTCCCCTAAAGGAATGACCTATATTTGCTGCTTTGAATTTTTGTCCTCTGCTGGGGCTAACTGCAGTCTGAACGCAGGGGGATGGCACATCAAAAGCACTGGAAAATTGTACTTTTTTCTCTCCCATAAATACAGTTGGCAAATGGCACACTATTTGCTCTACAGGCACCCTTTGGCACTCCAGAGTATATCCCACTGTCACATGTCTCAGACCAATAATAGAGGTCACAAACATAAGGAAACATCATCTCCTCCCCATAAAAATCAATGTTGTACAGGGATTCTACCATCAGTTTGTTTGAGTTTCTTTTCACAGTGATGATGTCATGTTCCACATAATGGAATGAACAAACAGGAAGTAGTTGTTATAAAGCTAGTTTCTTCAAGCCATACACTTGACTCCAAACCACCCCTATTAATTAT